ATTTCCTTTTCTCTTAAATGGTTTAATCCACACGTTGTAATATTGCAAATTACGGCGCTTGGCATGTCTGAAAACCTTTGATTGGTTCTTCTGTTACTGCCTGCTCACTTATTCCGAAATTTCACTTTTAATCAATGGACAAACGCCCTACAATGCAAACTGGCAGATGACTTGACAGCTTTAGTTTAGCTCAGCCCCATACTCTTTACTCGAAAGAGCAAGCCCTTTCAACCGACGACAGCGCGCGTTGTCTCCGATCCGAGCTTTATCGCAATTAGAAAAATTAACATTACCCCTATTCTTCGGCAATTTTACTTTCCAATTCTTCTCGGTTTCCCCTATTTTCATATAGCATCCTTTCCTCGGGTATTGATTGTATGCCCAACTTTGATTTAACGCTTCCGATAAAGGAGTCAGCCATAAACTAGGAAAGCTTACTTTCAAGGTAACATACATTTTCTTATTTGGAACTCCATACTAATATTTGTATGTTTTAAATTTTTTCTTGATATAGCATCTGTGAAGTATTAACGTTATTAGCTATATTGTCATGGCCTTACTTTTCCAGAGGGTAAATGTCTATATCACACGTGTACAAGTCATTTTCCTTGTCAACGTTGTCATCACAAATGTATGTTTTGATTCTATCAGTCCTTTCCCTCCTCTTCCCCCCTTTAACTTACAGACAAGGTTGGGTGGTAAGGTGTGTTGCGATTCCACTCAAATAAACTATCACAAGGTAGTTGGAATCTTAAGGTTTCAATAGAACGAACAACTTACAAGCGATGCGAATCCTAACACGAGGTAAGACTCACTTGATTGGCTAACTCGAGTCACATGACATAAGCGATTTCGTGACACAATAACGTTACAAGAGGGATGAGTTGAACTTAGCGAGCCTTCTCGAGATTTAGGGAGCTCCCTTTCCTTTCTCCCCCTCCCCTTCCCTCCCCTCCCCTCTTCCCCCCTTCTCCTCCCTATCCCTACTCTCCCCCTCCCCCTCCCCTCCCCTCCACCCCACTCATCCACTTAAATCTATCATTTTATCAAGGTTCGGTTTCTTGTTTCTTCGTTTGTCCCTTTGCTATTATTCTTCTCTTTTTGTGTTTTTAAAATATAGGATGTCGCATTTTTTGCCAGCAATTGTAAGGAAATTTTAAAGATTTCCACTACAAGATCATGAGATTCACAAAGAGTATACTGCAGAACTCTTTTATTGATAGCTTTGCACTAGGTTTCCAGGACATATCAACTACGATGCAGCAACGTAACAGCTTTATATAAAAGTTTACTTGGAAAAATGACTTGATAACATTATGTTTACGTATTTAAGAACAGTTTTTTTTTTTTTTTTTTACGTAATGAATGTAGGTATAATGTCCCAGCACAGATCGAAATTTATTTTCCATTTCATGAAACCTTTTTGACACTTATAACTAACTTCTAGATCTTTCTAAGAAAATGCTTTTTTTTCCAAATGCTACTGGCTCTCTGTTAGAGCTCGTGTTCTTTTTGCAATTGGTTAATGTCTGAAAGATTTCAGAATTCAACGGAAAGACTATAGGTCAAACAAACACTTTTTAAGCTGCTGGCGATATCTTTCTGTTTATCACAAGTACTTCTGCGAAATACATGGCGTATTTTCCTTATCCAGAACTGGCTATCCAAGCGCAAGATAAAAATTATTATTACGGAAACAAATGAAATATGATTCCGTTCTTCAAATAATTAGGAAGTACGTATAACTCATATATTACAAAGGACCATTTTACAAAACCAGCAATACCCAATAACTACTGTCGTTTAATAAAATACTTGTAAATACTTTCTACGTAGTTTTGGTCCATTAATTACAATTTCACACGTAAATTTACAGAGTTACGTACTGTCGATGGCAACTTGGTTATTCGCTTGTCATACCAATTTGTAAATGATTTCCCTTGCCAAAGGGCTTGGGAGAGATCTCAACTTTGACAACTCATGCCTGCCATTATCCCTTCATGTTAATCGTCATCATTTGATGAAACATAATCGATTTTCAGATTAGAGCTGCGTCCGAAAAGCCATACTGATTTCAGACTGTTACTGTGTAACAGGCGTCTTTACTACTTGATCTCAAATATTCACTGATCTCTTTGAACATCGGTAAAAGATGGTCAGTGAAGATTTGCAGCAAAAGATTGATATCAACGAACAGGCAATAGTTAATCCGAAGCCTCCAGAAAATGTAATATTCTAGAATTGTTTCTTATCGTTTTAGGTTGCACAGAGTGATAATTTGTCTCTGCGACAGTGAGATCTTCATGCAAGACCTTGGTAAAAAAGTATGACCAGTAAGACTCGATTTCTGAAAAAATATACCTCGTTATCTTAAGTTTTAAAACCCCATTTGACTTTTGAACTATAAAAAAAAAATATATATATATATATATATCCCTTTTTTAGGACCAGGGCGCTATTTGAGTGAGTATCGTGAAAAAAAATAAAAATTAAAAAAAAAATTAAATAACAGAGAAATCCCAATGGCCGGCCAGAAATAAGAAACTATACGTTTAGCACTTGATGAAAAAGTAACAATGGCCAAGCTGCCTAAAGCACGGGAAAACGCTGTTCACTAGGTCGTGATTGGTATTAGTTTTGTATCTGATTGTTTGACAGGGTGACACGAGTTTTTTGGACCAATCATAGAGTGAAGTAAAGCAAAACTAATGCAATCCCGGAATACTTCAAAGCATTCAACGGAAAATTTCTCTAAACATCATTGGGGCATACGGTCCAAAACGATAAGAAAAACAAAAAGAAAAAAAAAAATTCCAGAAAAAAGAGAAGACTAGAAGAAAACCGAATTTCACTCGTTTACCTTTTGAGTCTTTATATCAGACCGATGTTGGTTTCAATCCGTATTAAAAAGTAACAACTGATATTCGGTTTATGAAAAAAAAAACAAAAACAAAAACAAAAAAAACAAAAATAGCGCTCAATTTTTGATCAGACACAAATAAAAACCTTTTTGGCTGAGTAGGACTGATACTGAGAGTGATATCCCCTGGGAGATACTGAGTAATAGATCAGTTTATGTGTTATCATCATTATCAATTGGAAGTGAAATAGAAAAGGTAAATTGGCTGGATGTTGATCAAACATGAAAGCTCTAGTAAAAAAAAAGAATTTGAAAGATCATTTTTCAATTTAAAGATCCATGGATTAATATAAAGTATCGATTAGGTTGCTGGCGATTTGTACCACCTTTCCTTCGGCCTCCCCTCCCATATCGTCGAGCCCAATCAATAAATGACTAAAAGAAATGATAGCTAAAGGTAAACCAAATGAAAAATAAGATAGGGGACATTTGTGTTTCACGGAAGGATACACAACTAGTTACACGTTATTTGCTATTTTAACTGAATGCCATCCGTCAATTAGAATGCTAACCAATAAAAGCTAAATGCTAATGCTATTATCACCACTGTAGATAAACTTTTTTACTCCAGGAACGTAATAATTACTTGACCATGACCAGCGGTGTTATAACAACATTCATTGTCCTGGTTGTTTCCATCGTTGTAGGAGCCTCCCCCACCCCCACAGGAATTAAACTCACCATTTCCACTGCTTCCCCCAGAGTAACCTCCTCCTCCTCCTCCTCCTGATTCTACCCATCCACCACCTCCACCACCTCCACCAAACCCACCATCGACATCGTTATACCTGGCTCTTCCACCCACCCCTCCCTGAATAAACCCCTTACCGCCTTCTCCACCCTCTCCTTCGGTTCCATCAAAAGTTTTTCCGCTTCTTCCACTGGAGTAAAACCCGCCACCACCACCACCTGAAATCCAATGAATATATCTCAAGATTTTAGTAAAGAAAGGCGAAACTTTGTTTAGATGGAATATTAACCCATTCGATATTTTGAATTTTTTTATCGTGTTTTAAAACGCTCCACTAAACCCATATCAGCTCAGCAAAATCTTTATACGACGCATTTTAATTGAGGTTTGATATTTGTATATAGCTCCTATAATAACAGTGATATAAATCAATTAATTTTGAATGTATGAACATCATAGCTCAGTTGGTAGAGCACTGCACCAGTATCACAGAAGTTATTGGCTAAAATCCCGTACGGACCTGAATATTTTTTCAAGGCCTTATTTCCCCTACTACCTAGGTAGGGTTTATTACTGCGAGGATCGCTTTCATACATTTCATGAATCTGCAGTACACATATATGATTTTCATATATTCAAATTTCATTTATTAAAGAAATTATTACAATAATTTTGTTTTTCTTGTCTATCCATCCCTCTTAGTCAATAATTGCATAATATTAACAGTTTCATATCATTTAGAAGCACTTCGTGGCGCTGAAGATTGAACCTTGTGCAAAGGGAATCGAGCCGGAAAGTTGTTTCTATCAAAGAATCGGTTCATGCTTCCAATGCGTATATCGAGTTATGTATCAAAGAGGGAAATTTGGAGAGAGTAAGGGAAGAGTTGATCGAGGCGTAACCCGGTGGTAGCAACTCTACCTTCTGGAGTTATCAATGCAACCCTAAAAGTAACATTGCTCGTTCAAACAACGAAGCCAAAAAAAACTACAAATTTCTTGAGTTTGCGAGTCCCTTGTGGTACATTTACCTCCTTGAGTTGTTGGTTACTAGAATTGAGGATTAGGAATTGCGTCACTTTATGCTGAAAATCTGGAAAATGGTACGATTTTAAACTAAAATAATCTATTGAACAGCACTTTTGGGACCTACATGTATCAACACTTCACAACAACTTTTACCCCAACGTCGCGAAGCCTAAGCTGAAGGCAGTAAACTCAGTTTTATTTTAACCCATACTGCTCATTGCCTTTGGGAATAAAAGTATCCTAGACCCCAAAACTAATTTCGTCGCTTTACAGAGTTACGCTCATTTTTTTTTTTTTTTTTAACGATGACTAGTTAGCATATTTCTTTTACTTTTGAGCTCCAACGGGTTTTTCTAAATCGGATAGAACAGAAAAACGATCTTCAAAGTTTTGAAACCTCGCGGCTAAACTCGATAGAAACAATGACGTCACCTGAACCATCTCGATGCACCATCCATTTCTTTCTCATGAAATAGAATCCAATAAGAGCGCCCTTTATCATGTAGCTAGGATATAACATTAAATGAACAGCTGAGATGCAAGGAATAATCACGATATACTCTTACCTGACTTTCCATCATCAGCGGTCTGTGCGCCATGTCCAGTGCTCCCCCCTGACCATGATTTGTATCCTGGATTTCCTTCTGTGTTTGTGTTGGCGTCACATCCTTCATGTCTTGACCTAACTGCATTTACCCCTCCTCCACCTCCAGCTATTATCAAAGGTGTGTTGGCTCCTCTCACCACAAAAGTACCTCCACCACCTCCAGAACCGCGATACTTTTTGTTTATTCCTCCTTCTTGACCGACAAGTATCCGAATGACTCCAACCTTTAAACTGAATGTTCCAATCATTCTTGCTCCTCTTCCCTTGTGCTGAGTGCTGTTAGCGTGTACATCGTACCCCCCTGCTGCTCCTATTGCTTCTATTCTGTAGTCACCAGTGTGCGGCACAATCCAGTTTTGAATACCGCTGGACAGAGTAACTTGTCCATCATGATCCTGTCCTGTGTAGTGACTGCCCAGCCTTGTTGGACCAAATCTTCCACTGGCATTGAGGTTTGTAAAAACGGCCTTGAATGCTGAAAGGTAAGAGTCGAGTTATCTACATCAATATAGGCAGAAAGGTTTGTTTTTTTTTTCCTTTTATTGAAGGTAGATTTACACTTACAAAGAAGGACATAGAAAAGTCAAGATCATGTAAATTGATCTATAAAATTACTCATGTATTAATGTAATTATTAAGTTATTCATCTATTTTTTTTCATTAGATCATAGACTTATTTAATTGCCTCTCAATTGACACGTACTCTCTGGTCACGAAATATTTCCCCTGAAAGTATATCCAGCATCGCATCTGATTGGGGTTGAAAATGTTGCGTCTGTCTACTTTGTTAAAAATGATCTTTTGAAATTGGTCTTTGACTAAAACTGTCCGTTTCTTTGTCACTCCCAAAGCTTAAGGAATAGTCTTCACATTTCCCTAAACTTCCTCTTTTTAAGCCTGAATTAAAGATATACCCTTCCTATTCAAAAGCCTCTCTTGGGTGTCTAACTTATTGCTTATGGAAATCGGAAAGATGAGTTTTGTCAATGATGCGGCGCTAGTTTTTTCCCTTTCTTATTCATAATCTGAGCTATTGCATTTACATTTTTCCGCTTCAGTGCTCAAAAATAACTGAAGATATCCGGTCATTGTGCGTGATAAAAGTGGAGAATTGAGCACACCGTTACATTTCGATTTAACGTCCGGGGCGCTCTTTTATACTTGGTACACCATTGAAGGGCGCTTTTTCAAACCAGGGGGTTTAATTCTTGGTTTTCATGTCATGTCATCAAAATTAAAAGTGAGGAATTATCAATATTTATGAGATTTTAGTTTCGTTAGTTGATAGAGTAGCTGATTCAGAAGTATCTTTTCACAAATTTTCAGTTTGTTCGGTTTTTCGTCTTGCGATAAAGCACGGTTAAATTTCTAAGCTATTGCGTGATAGGAGGTTAACATGCTGTCACATAGGTTAGAGAAAAGTGCTTTATCTTCTAAGACTTCGCAATATGAACAGTTCTTGTGTGAGAACCAGAACTCATATAGATGTCTTCTGAGCCCTCAGAAGACGACTATTGGCCTTTTAAGGCAAAACTCGATGACACGTTTTTGTTAGCTTCCGGCCGCCATATTGGTGTCCCAACATGGCGTCTCCGTACAAAGCCTTGAGGGAAACATTTCTTCGAATATCTTCCGCACAAAACATCACCCAAACCTGAATCTGTGCGAGACTATTTGAATATTCATATTATTTCATTCCTTTGGTTCTTGAATTTATTTCCTCCATGGTTTTGATGATGGTGCGACAGTGAAATCCGGCATCAGGTACAGGGCGCTTATTTCCTTCTTGAGAAAAAGCAGAATGTGCAGAATAAACCTATATAATAATAATAATCACCAAAAATGTTTACAAAAGTTTGATAAAAACCCAAAAAATATAATTTTTTCAAAAACTTTAATCAGACTCGTATCAGACCCAAACTAACTTTGATAACAGAAACAACCTACGTATAAAAATCGCGAAAGCAACTACTAGTTCGTATTGAAGGAATTTCATAAAACGTACATCGAAATTATCCTTATGAAAGTAAATTACATTAAAAAGTATATGAGAAGGGAAGTGACACTCTTACTCTAAAAAGTGTAAAAACAAATTTGAAAAATGCCCAGCCTATATTTGCCATAGCATTGTCAATTAAAAAACCTGTATCGAATGTTTCAATTATAATAATAATAGTAATAATAATGATAATAATAAATAATAATAATAATAATAATAATAATAATAATGATAATAGTATTGCGCAAATTAACATGTGGATATGATCAAATGCACAATCACAACACTTTTCGGGGGATTTTGACCGGACTGCATGAGCAGTTTACAGACAATCGAAGGAAACTCATTTGAAGATACCCCCTCCCCCCGATTCCCAGTAAACAGGCCAGACCACATCACAGTTATCTCGAGGGTGGATTCTTTAACCTCCTCTGCCTAACCAAAGTAAATGATTAATAGATGCAGGAGACGAAACCTACGGTTTATTCGTCCTTATCCGAGAAGACTAGAATGTCTATCCATTTGTTGATATTATAGAAAGGTAGTGCATTCCCCTTAGTTAAATTAACACCTTGAGTGTTGGTCCGGTCAGGCCTTGAACCATCGACCTCGACCTCCCGCACAATAGTCTAGCGCTCTAACCAATTGAGCAAGCCGTGAGGCGGTTCTTTCTTTAAAAAAGATGAAATAGACTGGAAAATGACGGACTTGCTGTTCATGGATGGTTCCTCACTGGAACGGTCGGCCAAGCTTCAATCGTCACACAATGAAAGAACTGGACAAAAAAGTTGAAAGACAGAGGCATAGACAATTGATCTTGTTATGAGGTTGTCAGTGACCAAAGATGAGCCACGGTTGATCTCAATGCACATGTACTTCGCAATGCCATTACTGATTTAAAACAGCGGCCTTATCAGTGTAGGGGACGTTATTAAAATGAGAGTACCTATTCAATAGGAACGCTTATAAAAAATCAAATGTGACGGGGCGCTTTTTTGAGAGAGGGCGTTTATTGTTAGGAGGGCACCAAGTCGAATCCTTAAAGTATTTATATAACGTAGTTAATTGAAAATTGGCTGTGTGCTTGTTTGCTTTTTTTCTGTTTGATTATTATTTTGTTTCGTGTTACAAAAGGAACATCAGTTACGGTTTAAATTGACGAGGTCCTCGCACTATAAGGATCATTATGGCTTAAGTTAGCCTTATCTTGTACAGTTTACAATGTGTTTAACTCGGTATGGCCATTTTACAAACTTCATCTTATGTTTTCTTCTTCGGTATATAACATAAGCATTGTTGGCAAAAGTAAACTGCATGGATACCAAACTTTCTGCAGTCTCCTCCACAGCCCTAATTTGGTCTCATCACTCAATGTTCACTCTCCTGCCTTGCGTGACGAGACCAAAGGACGATCTGCTCATTGGCTACAACAATCCTTACTTCTGTTCCTTCATCAGAGACAAAGTCTTGATCATTCAGTTACAGCTAGTTTCCTAAAAAATATTTTCCATATAATTTTCCAAAGAAAAGCAAACTAAAAACTCTACTTCATCTCTAACAGCCTCTGAACAAAGATGTTTTGCGGTCTCCCGAGAGATAATAGCAAAAAAGTCCTCACAAAGGACATGAGCTATTACACTGGGTAGATGAGCTCACAATTCTTGTTTAAATGAATGAATGACTAGTTTATTAAACTTACTAGCAGTAACGGATCTAAATTATAGAGTGTATTTTACGATCTTAAAGCAGCTATTATCTAAAAACTAAAAATTTACGACTATGACAATGATAATTACAATTGAATCATTTAAAATACTTAAATAAGTCTTCCGTTCTCTTTGTCCTACATATCTGAATGTTTCGGAAGAGATAGCAGTTTTGTGTTTTCTGCCTTAAGTCGTAATTAGGTGAGTGCAGGAGTGGGATGGGGAGCAGATGGTGCAGCGGGTCGCCGGGGTACTTAATTATTGCCATGTATTTTTAGCACAGGTCTACTCTTCCGTCATCTAGCCTATCTAATTTACCTAGCTGTAAGGCATAAGCATATGACTCAGCTTCGGGGTAAATTATATTAAGCGCTTTTTTGGACTCGCTCTATGGATTCGGACAGATAGGGAGGAATATCCTGTCAGACAGGTACAGCATACTCTAACACTGGCCAGACTGTGCTAAGATATATCTTCAGGATGTTGGATTGACACACCCTGGCTCTGTGCAGTACTCTGAGGGAGTATAACTTCTTACAAGCTTTCTTAATAATGAAATCAACGTCAAAGTTCCACTTTAGGTCTCTGTCTATAATAACTCCTAAGATCTTATAGGTATTGACACACGGGATGGCGGTGACGCCAATTAATATGGGATTAATGACAATTAGAGTTGCGGAGAAAATTAATATGCATTTCTTTACGCTTAGTTGGATTAAGACTCATATATGGGCAATGGCAAAATTATGAATATCTGAGGCTACAACATTGGGTAAACTAGGGGAATTCCTTGGAATTATTTCGAGAGCACTGGTATTAACAACGTATTTAATGCGCAGCCGCCAGTCAGACAGAAGTCTGTTTGTCATCACTGTAAAAAGAATCACACCCAACTTAGTTCCTTGGAGGACTCCTCCTTTCAGTGTTAACCAATTTAACAGAGATCTCCCAGTAGCCCATTTCCGAATTACCCTTCGCCTCATTTTCAAAACGAATCCTGGTGCTCATCCTTTCATCTTAGTATAAGTTTTCATCCACATGCAAATTAAACTCATTTTTATAAGAATGGCTGAGCACCATGCCTCGTTTTGAAAAAGAGGCCAAAAGTAATTTGGAAATTGCCTATTTCAACCGCTTGCCTCCGATAAGTCAAAAAAGCTGCAATCCAAGATAAAAGGATTGGGTGAACTTCAAGGTCTGTGAGTTCCTTCATCAATATTGAGTGATCGATCAAATCAAACCCTTTAAAAAAAATTGAGAAAAATATCCGAGCCGACGCCTCACCACTATCAACTGCTTCGTAGAACGCTTGGAGCATATACATAAGGGCATCTGTTGTTGAGTGCCCTTTACGGGAGAACTGGCAAGGGTCGATCTTGCCTTCCAATTGGGATAAAAGTCTGGAACAAGTAAAGCCTTCCATAACCTTTGCCATAGTACAGGTAAGAGATATAGGTCTTAAATCTCTCTCAATAAGTCCATTCTTTATGCCATTCTTGGTATGCGTCAATGGTGGGTTGATTCAATCGCAATCTATCGATGTACCCTAATTTATCGACATAATTGGCATTAGGGACAGCACTCTTATTGGTGCAAGCATACCCCAATGCTTGGATTTGACTGGAACGTGATACATGCCTAATGCGACAATCTGATCGGTTTGTGATAAATGAAAAATGAGGCAATCGGATTGGTACGTGATACCTGCTATAATACGGCAATATGATTGGTTTGTGACTCATGTAAAAGCACCAATCTGATTTGTGCGAGCGACATACCACTCTTAACTTGTTTATTTATTTAAAATAACTCAACGATGGATAGGACCTTTTCTAATGAAAATGCAGAACATTTTTCACACTTACGGCAGTTCAACTCAGTTTTGCATTTGCATGAGTAGCACCCATCTGTGTTACTGCAAATTTCTTTTTTGTGACAAAGGTGGGTGTAAGTGAGACAATCATCTAGATCAAACCTAAGATGGTGGCCAGTTTTCGCTAAAACATACAGAGCACTCGCTCGTCCAAATGACACCTCCTCTGCAGGCTGGTTAACCACTGGTCTGTCAAAATCTAGCTTTTAAAAGGGTTAAAGAATAAACTGAAACTCGGAAATGGTTTATTTCACCGAAAAGCGTTGGTTTGAAAATACAGACATCGTACACTGTAAGACTCGAGATCACCGCAACAACGCAATGCGAGTTGTTTTTCTCTGCAATTCCGCATTAAAAAAGTGTTCAACACCACAACACCGCAAACCCAATATCCCCTTCATACTCAAGAATTAGTCTGATCATTTAACTTGTGATATGCGACTTTTTACAATACTGATATACCACTGAAAGTACCCGCGTCAAATGATATTTATCATTTAATTCACATAAACAACCAATCCACAGGTACACTATCTGAATCAACCTCTGGGCTCCTTGTAGCAACACTAACTCACTGGAAAAGGTTTCTAACTTTAACCTATCGCGACTCCTTATATATCTTTCTGTATGTATAGTATCAAGTATTTGAATTATGTAATTGTTGGCTGAAAAGCCCCAGATGGGGATGTTTTTACTAAAATGTATGTATGTATGTATCTTTTAAAAGAGCTCCAGAATGTTCTAGACATCTGTAATACTGCTATTTTTAGTAACATTACACTACTATTACATCATGGCGAAAATATGCTGGCTAACTGTTCTAGAAAGTTCCATTCAAAGTTCTTAATGAGTCAGCATGACTAAACGTTCTAGAAACTTCCTCGATTCTATTTTTAGCAACTATGTAACACCATGCTCTCCATGACAGTAGTAGCACCCTAGACGAAACAAGTAATAAAATGAACACTGCGATGGGTGCAAAGCGTAATAAATGACACATTAGCAGCCGAATCTGATTCCTCAGTAAATTACTTTAAACAGCTTTCTTATGAAAATCGTTGATATTCTTGATACGCTCGTCAAATTTAGGCAAATATAAACCAACGGTTTTCGATGCTTGGGGCGATTCAGTTGGGCAAATTTCATAGTTACCTGTGCATTTTTTGCCATCGCCATTAAACCCAACCTTGCAGCTACAATTGAAAGAACCTTCGGTATTGTTGCACTCAGCGTTGACATCACAGTTGTGGGTTTTGGTGGAACACTCGTTTATATCTGTACAAACAAATTCTTTCCGTAAATTATTAAATTTTAAAAGAGTTGATAAAAGCTTTTGTAGGTATGTTCTAATTGGATGAGCTGTGATATTGGACAGGACTGAAAGCTCACTGAAAGTGCATCACGTGGAATGATGTTTGGGGAGCAGTAATTTTTTGGCTTTCAGGGGGAACGGATACAAAGTGTGATACATAGATCCTAATAAAAGTTTTGTTGTGTATTATCGTTGAGTATTTTTACGAGGTGTGCAGTATTTTGACGAAAAAGTAGGGCAAGTTAAAATACAAACAACTACGCCCCAAAACATTTAATAAGAGATTTATTATCCAACGCGCCAAAATGTGTATTCAGTGCGGGTGAATTTCGCAGATATCTATTTACGGGGACTGCAAAGCGGAACGCAATCAGCGCGTTGTCGTTTTGCTGTTTCTGTTTTCTTAAATGGATGATGAGATTTCAATGTCGTCTAACTGCTTTTCTTTCTTTCCTTTATCTAATAAAACGGGATCAATATTCGCCAGCCATTCCAACTCTTCATCTTCAGAAGGATAACTTTAATTTTTCACCATTTTTGTTTGTAACCTGAATCCAATTCTTCACTTGCGCAATGAGAGAAAACCTTCAGCGTTATTTGTACTCTAAGAAGCACAGTTGGATAATAAATGACTCGTAAGTCATTAGAACACATGTGGAAGCATACGAGACCATGTTAAAATGGATGCAAAAGAGACGCATAATTGTAGTAACTAACATGATTATTAGCGCGCACGTGCAAAGTAACTCTTACCTTTTTCACAGTGGTCTCCCGTGTAACCAGGTGGACACACACACTTGTATCCCTTGTCCGTAAATCCAACCAAGCAAGTTGCATTCTTGTAGCACATGTTGAAACAACACTTGTTCTAATGGGGAAACACATTGAGCCTTTTTTTCATAAAATAACGGAGATGCTATTCATGCGCGCAATTTATACTTTTTATCCATAAGGGGCATGCTTGGAGCTTTTCTTTTTTTATGTAACATATAAAAAAGCTTCGACTTTGCTCTGTTCTGTTGTAAAGGACGACGTAAGCGGCTAGAGAACAAAAGAAGTGAAGGGGGAGAAACTTCTTGATACTCTGATAAGACATGCTGTCTCAACCAATCAGAACGCGCGTTATACAGGAACTAAATTTTTTTAAATTAATTCATCTCTTTTTCATTCTTAGCCGATTCAGGTGTTCTCAGGCATCACTTAAAAAGTTTTTGAGATAAAATTGCCTCTGAGTTCCCGAAGACTCAAGGAAGAACGAGGAAACTCTATTAAAAGGTACACAAGGCTTACAAACAGCAGCAAACTCCTAAACAAAAATTAAAATAAGATAAAAATAAGACTCTTACCTCCGTGCCCCTATACATGAAACCTGCCATCGGTTTCAGATCATTTGGATGTTGCAAGTGGTCCGAGTCACTCAATTGACACAAAACTTTATCTTTTTCTCCTGAGGGTCCCATGTTGATGGAATTACATCTGTCTTCCATAGTCCACGAATTTCTGCAGTCACTATAAATATGCATTCCGACTGGTAATAAAATGTTTTTAAAGACGTGGCCCACCAATCCATATCCATCTTTCTGTTGTAAGAACTTGAGACGCCGACAGCTATCTATCAATCAGACATTAGAGGAAAGCTTTTGTTAGGGCTCCAAAACCTCTCGCGTAGGTTGACGAAAAAAAACAGATCTCAAAAAAACACAGGACTGGAATAGAATATGATTAAGTAATGTTTAATAACACCATTATTTAGAGAAAACTGTTTGGTCTTAGGGATTTGACAATTTTCATGGCTATCAATTGATGGGCTAAAACTTCTATCCACTCGGATTTGAAATCCATCTGCTCAAAAAATTGAATAGTTTATCGTATCGTCTCCCGATGGTTAGCCTTCGGTCGAAATATACTGAGCCACTTAGGGGCCAGACTATTTATTTTGTTTGCCTTCAGTAATATTCTTGAACCCGTTAACACCAGCAAAATAGAATTGTAACAACTCCGCCATATACCGGTACAAGAGGTTATATCTTTTTTCTTTGGAAGAAAAAAAATTAAAGAAACGGTTGCAATTTTTTATTTCGTTCCGTTTTCATATGCGTTTTCATGCGTTCTTTTTGTGGATTAAAAGTTTCAAAACGTAAAACGGTTTCGAGCAAAAACGAATTTGAGTTGATGTGACTCAGGAAAAAGAAGATAAAATAAAAGACTTCGCAGAAGCTAAGATAAACAGAAATTTTTCTTTCTAATTTAAAACTTTTATAATTGCTATTGTTTTCACCGCAAATTATAAAAGTAGAATGTTTCGAAAACGAATGTGGGTGGTAGGGCACAGAAAAAATAGTGGAGAAGAAAAAGCTTTCGACAAGCTAAGGTGACGGAGCTTTCTAAAAATATGTTAGTACCCTGAAATGGTATCTTCATTTCTGTGAATATTTCACCATGTATTTTAATTAATTATTAAATGGTAAAAATTTGAATTTTTGCTATAAAGATAGTGAATAATGTATGATGTTATGCCCCCAAAATGTGCTTACCTAGATGATCTCTGAAACTTTATCCCAACTTGAAAATCAAAACAATAAATGTAAAGAATAATGTCAAGGTACATAGAAGTTTAGAAAATCATCTCTTTTTGCTCTACTTATGACCTCATACCCTATTCATTGTAACTTTCCTCAACTAGATTTGAACAAAGGAAAAGTGTGTAAGAAATTCTTTCCCAATTTGAATCATCCTTCCCAAATATAAACAGCCACAGAAAAGAGCCTGTATTCGTTGAATAAAACTATTTGTGACAAACGTAACCCTAGTTATTTTACTGACTTGAGCTAAAGTGCTAGTGCCAAGCTTACTGAAAAAAACAAAAAGCAACATTAATTCCCATTTTCTTGATATTGAACGATTTTTCCAACTTCAAAGATACCCAAGTCAATTCATTACTGGCCCATTGTTCAAAACTTCTTTATTTTATTTGTTATATGCAGATATTTAAGGAATAAAAAAGAACTATTCCACATCGACTATAAATCCTTTGTTTCCATGCTTAGTCTTCTTTACAGGCTAATTCATTTCAAGAAATGTTGGAATGTTCTGTTCGTAAGCTATTGCATAGATTGCACCTAAGGTTCCTCTGCTCCAAGAGAGGCTATCGAACGGAGGACGAAAAAGCAGTTTTTCTATTATTTTCTTGATGTTTTGAGGGTATAAAGATAATTCAGATGGCATTAATTGAGTAAGAAATAAATATTATAAATGTTCACCCATTTTTACCAGGTGTCTGCTTAAAACTAGTCAAAAGCCATAAATAATCGATGGGTTTTTCCATCGACGTTATCAGGAAATGTTGGGTTTTTTCTCTATGAAAAACATATGCGTCTCTGAAAAAAATATAATTAAGTGGATGAGATTCTTACAATTCTTGTACTGGAATCGCGTCGACTTACATGAAATACAGACGTAAAAATCTTGCTACTAAAAGTGTTTTCGTAACAAGGAAGAAACTATGTTTTGATTGAAATTAATTGTAACCTTCCTTCAACGACTTTTTTCTTTTTCCCTTTTTATTTTAAATTCCGCACATCTTATGTTCTTGACTTCCTTTCTAAATGTGGTGAATTATTTTCAAATGAGTCACTATATGCTGAGTTAGTTTAGGCGATATTTTCTTTCTGAAGGACCGCTCACGGGCCTACCTAACCCTGCAGGAGCTCTTTTGTTTCCTTGGGCACGCTAAGCAGTTAATAGCATATCAACATAGTGCGTCTAAGTTTTCGCAATACCACCCGGTGGACATAATACGGAGACAAACGTCTCTACAATACAACTGATTAAGTTTCTGTTTGCAATATAATTTTTCGTTGTGGACTAAATGCAATTTAAAATTTTCAATGTATAGTCTGTTCGAAACAGGTGCCTAAAGTTTCAACAAGCAAAGACATTGCTTAGATATAGGGTATTTCTCAAATGAAGGAAACGATAACGGAGAAAAAAAAATTGTCATACTCGCTTGATGAAGATCTCGTTCTCTCGAAAGTTGAAGATTCAAGCGTAAATGAAAAAAAGATATTACTGGGGGTTTTGCTCATCAATCAAAAATCATGCGTAGTTGTTTCCATTAAAAACCATGAGAATCGAGACGTTTTTCCTTATTTTCCGCATTTTTAGAGATATCTTTGTCTCTTCTTCATAAAATGATTTGAATGAATGCTCTGTTGTTTTGATGCATAGAGAAAGAGCTGAATTCAAACGCTCTTAAACCACCTATAGTTAATTAAAAGCTATGACGATATGAAGTGGTTCTCAAAGTTTTCATACTCATTACGTTTGTTATAGCTAACACCTTGATTCATTTTTACCAATCTAATGGGTTTAGAGACTTTAATAGAAATTGCAAA